CTGGCTAGACTAAATCCATGAGTCAGGGCTCTGCAGCAGACTGAATCAGCAAAGCAGACAGGCCCAGCCCAGCAGCAGCCCAGACAGAAAGGAAAATACCGATGCCCTCACTGGGGCTGGACTAGACTGGGGCTGGGCCGCAGCAGTCGTGGCCAGGGGCCAGGTTCAAGTTGGGGATAAAATAAGATGTTTCTAGCAAAGCAGAAGGAAGCACAGTTGGTCTTTGCTGGCTTCTCAACTTCCCTCTTCCCTCTATCAGCATCAGCCCAAGACACTTCTGTCTGGCCTCCACTGGAGTTGCCTGGTGATTGGGCCTCTGACTCTCATGTGGTATTGACCTGTCTCAGCCCCGTTCTCTCTTTCCCTCAGCTCAGAATTTATTCTTGGCTGCGAGGGGATGGATCTGGCCATAAGTTCCTGTTTCTATCTGGTCAGGAAGATCACTGACATTGATGGTCCCCAAATGCTACTCACAGGCCTAAAATGCACCTACCACCCCGGCCATTAGCCCTGATACCCATGACCTGCAGCAGCTCCTTTTCCCAGGAATCCTCTATGATCTCTCTGTGTCAGTGATGTTCATCCATAAGCTTCAAGAAAAGCCAAGAAGTGGGCTGGGGATTTAGCTCAGTGGTTTTGCCACTGAGTTCTATCCCCGGCACCAAAAAAAAAAGAAAGAAAAGCTAAGAAGGGCCAGGGATTTAGCTCAGTAGCACCCACCTCATCTGCCTCACAAGCGCAAGGTCCTGAGGTCGATCCCTGGTACTGGGAAAAAAACAAAAAGAAAGAAAGGAAAGCCAAGGAATGATCCACTAAATGAAAGAACTGAGGCTGTGTCATAGTCAGGGCAAATCAGTGTGAGGACTAGAGTTTGATTTCCTCGAACCACTCAGCATAGCCCACCATTGGCTTCTAATTTTCTCTTTGAACCCTGGGTGTAGACCATTGGATAAACCACGATCTTTAATTCAGGGTATTTTTCACTCTTGGTCCATGCAGGGTCCACTTGTGACTCACTAGCTAGTTAGTGGGTTTAACAATGTAGTCTCTATAAATTCCAACAAATCCTAGGACTTAAATAATGACCTTCATCTAATCACGGGATCCCTCTTCCTCTCTCACATGCACATCCATCCCCCAGTGAGGTAGGTGGGCAGGTCTCTTTCACTTATTAATTCAGCTACTAGTGACTGTACATCTCTTATAGATCAGCTACTGTGCCAGCTACACTTTGCCAAGGTTGGCATCACTCCATACCCCATGTTCATTGCTCTCTTGCTCTTCTGAAAAATGCTTCTGGACTGTATGTAATCTGCTGGGGCCTTCTTTTATTGTTAATGTAATGCCACCCATCTTATTTTATGTTGCTATAGTTCATTTCTTTTGACTGCAGCCTAACATTTCATTGTGAATACTGTATATCACAGTCAGCTTCTGAAAGACTGGCCTCAGACTCAGTCCTAAAACTGAGACTTACCAATTTGTCTTTTTTCACTCTCTCTGTTTCTTCCTCCTTTCTTTTTCTTTCTGTCTGTTTTAGAGACGAGTTTTTTTTGTGTTATCAAGACTGACCTCAACTCACAACCCTCCTGCCTCAGCCTTCCAATAGCTGGGATTACAAGTGCACACCATGGCATCAAGCTCATTAGTTTTTTCATTCAATAAATATTTGCTCAATACTTATTATATGTGGGACATTGTAGAGAATATCAGGGATGCATTGATTAACTGCAATTTCAGGTGAGAGTTTTTATTTGGTTCATCTTTTTTCTTTCTCACTTTTGTTTCCAAATGGGGATGAATTGTTTTCTACAACCACTACTCAGTAGACAGCAGTTGGGAACATTAGCCACAGTGAGCACGGGGTTGCTTCAGTTCAGTTCAGGATAAGGAGCTAAGGCCAGGCAAGGTGCAGACTAAGCCTTTCCCCTGAGTCTCAGCCTCTATCACAAATCCTCACCCATCAGAGGGTATAGTCAATGTTTATTGAATGAATAATAAACAAATGAGATCTGCTCTATATTCTTCAACCAATGCAGGCACGCACACACAGGCAGAGTGGATGAAAAAGGATGAAATGATGGGGAAGAGCACTAAATGGATGCTCTTAATATCCTGCAAGCCCTTCTGCTGGCCTCCCACATCTCGGCAAACACTCTTACTTGCTTAACCAAAACCCCAGGGCACTGGCAAGGCCCATTGCCTATATTTCCAGACACCCGTGGAGTCTCTCTGACACCATCCTCTCCCTCTCCTGTCCTCACCTCACTCTAGCCATGACAATCTTTATGCGGTTTCTCCAATGCCCCAAGCTTGTTCCTGCTGTTGGTTCTTCCTGCCGTTAAAGTCCCAGCTCAGATGTCACCTCCCTAGGAGATGCTCCCTAGCCCCCCTAACTCCTTCCCCAGACCTCCCATTCTAAATCTCCACCCAGGCACTGTCTCTCTCACCTCACTTTGCTCTCTGATAGCTCCTACCAGGCTCTGGTCTTTTCTAGCTACCTGTGTACACCCTGTCCTCCCCAGACTTGCCCCTCCTCCTAGGGATGCAGCCCTTGCTCTGTCCTTTGGGCTCCTCTCTGGTCCTGCTGAAGGACTATTTGCCATAGATTCCATAGCTCATGAAGCAACACCTGGTACAATATGGACCCTCCACAAACCTCTGTTTAGTTTGGTGATTATGTAATGCTACTCATCCTGGTTATCAGACACTTTGTGTCAATCCTTTTCACCTTTGAATTGACTGAGTTAGATGAAAAGATTTTGTAAACTATTACATGCCAATTGTGTGTGAATTGCTATTGGTATTATTGTTACCTGAATCTATAGCCACAGCAAGGCACACTTACCCAATCAGTCCTCATCTTCATCCTGAAAATTGTCCCCTCTATCCAGCCCCAGTGCTGACAGAGAGGAGAGATACCGTGTAGAGCCCAGACGTTGGTTCCATTCAAGTCATTAATTGAGTCTTTACTAGGAACAAGCCTGATGCTGAACATAAAGGATACAAAGACAATAAGAAAAAGTAATCAATACAATTTTTGTCAATTTAAATTTTTAATTTAACAAAAGGAAATCACCAAAGAGGGAGGGAGAGAGGGAGAGAGAGAGAAACAGTGACTAGCTGACAAGAGAAGGAATGTGATAAAGACGTAATGAATGCCATGGAAGCATAGAGGGTCAAGGGCAGCAGGAAGGAAGCCTGGCACTTCCCCTCAGGTGGCTCATTTTGCCCTCAAGGTAGCCCTTCGAAGTCAGTGTTCTTTTCCCCCACCTTACCAAGGGTAAACTTGAGGCCCAAAGAGGTTGAGGATCTTGCCCAAAATACACAGTTAGTAATATGCAGAGCTTGTATTCCAATTCAGCCTCTGCAGACTACAGCACCTGGATGGATACTACATCAGCCAGCCATGACCTCCTGCACAGAGTGGACACGGAAATGTACAGCACCCTGGGGGTACCATGACCTCTGCACACAGGATCAGGAAAGTCCCTGGGTGGACACTTAGACCTCAACAGAGCCCAGGGATTCCACACCCTCAGTCAAACTGGGAAAGGGAAGAAGAAGCAGGAAGGCTTCTGGGAGGCAGGAGAAGGAAAGGCAAGGGCTCAGAGGCCAGGAACTTGGGTGTCACCCTTTGACCTTTGCCCAGCAATAAAAGAGACATGTGTACTTTAGATATGAGCCTTTGTGCATGTGCTAAGTTCACATGTAAAGTAATATGAGCAAGTGCAAGAAGTGCCTGTCCTTGTGTTTGTGTTGTGTATGTGTTGATGATAACCTAAGACCACACTCTCAGAAATGCCATTATGTATTCTGATAGTTCTTATTTTTGTTCATTTCATCTGGTACAACATACATTAAGTAAAACACTCAAACCAAAAGTAAACCTCTCTACGAGGTTTTACACATATAAACACATGTAGCCAAGACCCAGAACAAGATCTAGAAGCTTCTCAACATTCCAGAAGGCTCTATTGTGCTCCTTCCAATAATCACCCCTCCTTCCCCAGTTGTAACCATTATCCTGACCTTTTAAACTAACCACCTCTTAAACCTCATGCAAATAGAATCATACGGTATATACTTTTGTGCCTTGTTTCTTTCCTTCATTACCACATCTGTGAGTTTCATCTAGGTCATTGCATTTACAATGCATTTACTTTTACCGATTGCTGTAATTCTATAAATTATATGAATAGACTACAGTTTATTTATCTACTCTGCTGGTATTGACATTGGAGTTTTTTCTGATGTTTAGCTATTATTATTATTATTAAAGCTACTATGAACAGTCACGTATAAGTTTTTTGCTAGATGTATTCATTCACTTCTCTTGACTAGATCCTGAATCAGAATTGTTGTGTCAATAAATCATACACTAGTTGTATATTTTGCATTAGTAGATTTAACCAAACCATTTTCCAAAGTATTTGTATGAATTTACATTCCCACAAACACTGTATGAAATTTCCACTTGCTCCACATCCTCATCAACACCTAATATTGTCAGCTTTTTAAATTTTAGCTAATCTGATGTCTATGTAGAGATATTTCATTGTAGTTTAAATTTGCATTTGCCTCACATGTAATGATATTGAGCATCTTTTGGTACTTATTAGCCACTTGGGTAACCCCTTTTGTAAAGTATCTGTTCAAGTTTTTATAGAAATATACTATCTGTGAAACTAGGCAAATTATTGACAAAAACAGATAATGCAGAATTATCTTGAGAAATTCAGCAATACATACAAGTGGCAACTAGTTGTTTCAATAATTGCTAAGGAATTGCTACAATTACTAAACTAGTCAAACCAGGTCAAATAGGTACATGACTGAATTTTTTATCTTGAACCAATTATATAGATCTCACAGAGATCCCCAACTTAGATTTAGCAGGGTAAAGGGAATACATACAAGAACCAAAGGTCTCCTGTAGGCTGCTACCCCCAGTCTTAGAGGTTTCCTCATTCAACTCACTGTTTTTCCTTCAATTACAGGATCCCAGCAGTGACCATCCCCTGAACAACCTCGGTAAGCTCAATCCAGCTTTTCTTTGTCTCCCTCAGCCTCTGAGTTTTCAGTTACCAAGTAGATACTGAGCTATTCTCACCAGGCCCTCACAACCTCCACCACATGACAAATGGTATAGGTGACATCGAGCCTCCATCCATCCATCATTCAACAAATACTAAGTAATTGTAAGTTTCAGGATTCATTCTAGAAGTAGGAGGACTAGTCTCTAGGGAAACAGGATTAACAAACCTAAAACTTCAAGAGCAAAGCTTCCCCAGTTCCATAGTTGTGCCAGGGCCTGGACTGATGCTCGGCCACAGCAGTAAGACAATCAGTCCTCATGGAGTTCACAGGCCATCCATGCTGCCAGGAAACAAGCTGATCAATGATGTCTTCACTGAGGAAAGAAAATGGCAGTATTTGCCTGTTTTATTATACAAAAATAAACTAGTAAATAGAATGTTCCCAAATTTCAGTTTCTTTTCCTCCTGTTACATTTTTTTAAACCACTGATACCTACTCTTGACATAGCTTACTGGATCAGCAAAACAAACAAAGCCCAAATTCATATGGACAGATCAATAAGAAAATGGCTCATTCTGCTTACTTTGACAGTTTACTTCTCAGTTCAGGTTCACCAGTTAATAATAAGCACAAATGATGGAATCTTCAGCAAGTAAAAATGATGGCTTGTTTATACTTGAGAATTTAATAGATCAGTAGACCATGGTGACCCCAAAGAACACCAGGCCCCCTAGGGCTCCACCCAGTGAGTAAGCCTGAGAACCACCAAACCAGAAAATGAGCTGAATCTGCTACAAATGCCTGGTGTGAAGGAAGTGAACAATTTGAGCTTGTCAAGTGGTCAGGAATGGCACCATGTGCCAGGCATTACAGGATGAGTCAATTGTCAGCAGGCAGAAGTGATTGATGAGGTCTCAGGGGAGAAGGGAAGAGCCCAAGCTCTTCAGACTCAGAGGTGAGTATTAATAGGGTTATTCTGGACCAAGAAGCAAACCAGCCAGCGCAGGCCTGGGGGCTTGTGAGGACCAACTATAGAAGTTCATTCAGCCAAGAGAGTGAGGACAAGTCACACTGACTTTGAAAGCACAGGGAAGAGTGAAGCCCAGATGTGGAAGCCACAGGGAGACAGGGGGAAAAAAAACATATTTTGGAAAGTTCTGTCCAGCAGCAGTGGGCAGACAGGCTGGAGGAAGGATCAGTGGCAGGCAGGGAGGCTATTCATAGCTCAGTGGGTTCATGAATTTAAACGAGGTATGAAGCCCCTTCCCTTCCTGCTGGGGAAAGCAGGACGACCCTGAGAACATCTGGGAGGCAGAGGTCTTGGATCCTGGACACAGGGACTCACGGCCCCCAGCAGGTCATTTGGTCTCCAAGATAACAAACCTAAAAAGTGTCCCCAGAGATAGGTGCTCAATAAGTAAGTCATGCATGCATGAAAGAACAAAACGTCACCACATCTGCAGGAGAGAGGACAGTTGTGAAGACTGGTTGCTGAAACGTTAAAGTATGCACTAACATTATTGATAACCTACTTTGGGCCAGGCCCTAGCAGTTTACAGGCAATACCATTTCCAGTCCACATCCCCAGCACCTGGCCCCTGTGTCTGAAGTTAAAACTCTCTTTTAGGAAAACATGAAGTTTCAGGTTTCCCTTATAATAGATTCATTAATATCAGCATTTACTGGACACCGGATCCTGCCAGGATGCCATTCTTTGCTTTTGAAGAGCAGAGGAAAAGGATAGAGCCAGACAGATGACTAGCAATCATTCAAAGCTGAATAAAATGAGATCTGAAGGCAGATGGAAGAGATGCGCTTAGAGCATTCATTTGACAAACACTCGGTGAGTGTCTCCTGCAGGACAGGTGCTGTTTTAGGCACAGGGGACTCAGTAATGCACAAACGAGACACAGTCCTGTCTTCAGGGGTCTTCATTTCTGGGAGAGGAGGGGAGAAGACAGGAAACATACAAAACATGTAAAATATACAATATGTCAGACAACTAGCCTATTGCTTGCTTAGGTCTCTCTGACTACTGCACTTCCTGCCCAGCTCTTCTTGGAGGAGAGGTCCACACAGCACCCTCCCAGCTTATCTGCCTGCAAGGAGAGGGTAATGGAAAGAACCCACCTCTGCTACTTACTGAGAACCTAACTTTTCACACCCATTCCCACGTCCCACTTCCTAGAACAGCTTTGTGAGGAGCACATATAATTATTACCTGTTTTAGGCAGCAATGGGCTCCTACCTCATCTCCCTAATCCCAGACTCTTTTGTTTCAGTCCACCTCCTCCCTGATGAGTGATTCCTCCTCCTAAACATTAATTTGATCATTTTTCTCTACTGCTGAAAAACTTTTCATGGCTCCTCACTGTCTTGAGAATAAAATCTGAAGCCATCTTTAGCATGGCTTTCAAGGGTCTTCACAAACTGACTCAGTTTTCCTGCTTCCTAACGTGCTTTGATCCACCTCAGATTCTAGGTCACCAAGGCATTCGCAGTTCTATTCCATGCCATTCTGGGCCTGGTCCAGCAACTCCATCCCCCATTGCTACCTACATTTAAGTCCTTCCTGCTCAAGAAGCCATCCACAACCTACCTTCAATGGTGTCTCTAGGATAACACATGCTATCTTTCACACTTCCATCCATGTCCCTGTTTGTCCCTTCTCCAGACTGTAATTTTCTTAAAGACAAGAACAGCCAGGTGTGGTAGTATGTGCCTATAATCTCAGCACTCTGGGATCCTGAGACAGGAGGATGCCATGTTCAAACCCAGCCTGGGCAAATTAGCAAGACCCCATCTCAAAATAAAAAATACAAAGAAGGTTGTGAATGTAGTGCAGGGCAAAGACTTTGATTTCAATCCCTAGTACCACCAACATATACACATGCACACATGTGCATGCACACACACACACACACAGAGACAGGGACAATGCAGGAACTTATTGTTTGTTGACTGACTTGGAGATGGAGACCATCTGGTTCTAGCCATCCACAAGTATTTATTAAGCCTCTACTCTCAGCTCTCACTGTGCTGGAGGGCTCTACCCTCCTGGAGCTTATAGTTTAATCAAAAGATAAATCAGGTATAGGAAGAATGCATCTAATGTTCTGTAGCACAGTAGGGAAAGTATGTTTTTTTGTTTGTTTGTTTTGGTTTTTTTGGTACCGGGAATCAAACTCGGGTCCTTGCGCTTGCAAGGCAGGCGGTGGAACCACTGAGCTAAATCCCTGGCCCGGGAAAGTATGTTTAACAATGAAAACTCTCAAAAGAGTTTTTGAATGTTTCCAACACAAAGAAATGACAAATGTCTGAGATAATAGATACATCAATTAGCCTGATCCAATCATCATACATTGCATACATGTATGGAAATATCACACTATAGCTCATAAATATGTATAATTACTATGTGTCAAAAATAAAAAGATATTTTAAAATATGTCGGGAAAAGGATGAATGATAGCACAATGAATTTACACTCATATTCATGCAGGCCTTGGGCCTGTCCCAGGGCAGGCTCGGAGCAGATTGAAAAGGGTGACACATCCTAGGACAGGCTAGGGCAGTGGCGACAAACCTATGACATGTGTGTTATTGTGCTTTTCTTTTATGACAAAAGATGTTAATATATGAGTTGTTTTTTCTAAACTAAAACCTCAGTATTCAGGTTTAATTGCAGTGTTGGCACTTCGTGATAAATAAATGTGTTTTGGGTTGCAATTTGGGCACTTGGTCTTTAAAAAGTTCACCATCACTGGCTAGGGAAAGACAGGAGGGCAGCGTGGGCTGCAGGCTCATTTACAAAGTGCGTGAGAGATGGGTAAACTTGGGGAGGGGAAAGGAACTGAAGTGGCCTAGTCTGTAGGGCAATCCTTCCACAGGCCAGGGAAGCTCCAAGTGCTGACCACATGCTCTTTCCCCTCTGCCTCACACCTCCTACAGGTGCCACCCGCTTGCACAAGCCCCGCACCCCAATGGAGACCTTCAAAAAGGTGGGGATCCCCATCATCGCAGCACTGCTGAGCTTGATGGTCATCATCATTATGGCTGTCATCAGTAAGTGACAGCCCCTAACCAACTTCACCCCCTGAATAGGTGACAGTAGCCTCCCTCACCCAGATCTATAAGTGGCAGCTCCACCTTCATCCTGCACCCCCACAGTCATAGGTGGATGATCTACATAAAGCTGTGCAAAAACAAAAAAGAAAAAGTGTATCCACCCCTGCTTTGAAGGGAGCCTTCTTCTAAGAGTGAAAGGGGAAGATGAGCTCAGCCCCCGTCCATCTCTCCTCATCTGTCCCAGATTTCTTCTACACATGTGACACACTCACAAACCCACGCAGGCAATTACAGGGCACCACCCCTGCCTCCTCCTTCCCATCTCCTGCGGATTGACAGCTGTGTGGGTCTGAGCAGCCCTTGGGGCTGCCAGGACAGGAAGCATTTCTGCCAGTGAGACACAGAGGAGACTTCGGGGAAGGTGGCACCCCTCCCCACCTTCAGCTCTGTCTTCATCATTGGGAATGTCTGAGCCCCAACGCCTGAGCACCCTACTCTGTGATGAATAAGATTAAACTGTAGGACCAGTGACTCCCAGCGCCCCTTCCAGCTACCACACACTGCAACTGAGTCCTTGCCTTCATCCTCACAGTCACAGCAGGTTACTGACCATAGCAGGAAGTAAGGGACAGGAGACCAGACTAGGAATCAGAACACTTGAGACAGAAACCCTGGCTCTGCCACTTGCTGCTGTGCAACCATAAATGGGCCCCTCAAACTGTCTTACCCTCAAACTCTTCACCTATAAAATGTTCTGCCTTTCTCCAAGCAATATCATGCACACCAAGGAGACAGCATGGATAAAAAACCAAGTTGTGCAACAGTGTGTGTCAGCACTCGGCATGCTGAGATGTGACTCAGTGTGTGTGCTTGCTCATCAGGCAGGACTATCTGGGCAGCCTGGGAAGGGCTGGCTATTTGGAGCCCATTTGCACTTGGAACTAAGGTGGCATTTGCACCAGCGGCAGCCACCAACCTTGTTAGAGGACACTTAGAGATCATCTAGTCTAACCCCTCATTGGGGCACTTAGGCTCAAAAGGTGTGGCAGTCAGAGACAAATCTGGAAGAGGATCCCAGGCCTCTGAGCATGTGGGTCCAGTTCTATCTCATGGCAGTAGAAATGCAGATCCACAACATAAACACCACCTAAATCCCTGAAAGCCTTGGATAAGTATGAGACACAAACAACTTCAAATCATTTCTTCTTGACCTTGGCTGTCCCTATGTGATAGTGATTGTGTTAGTCAGCTTTCTACTACTATAACAAAATACTTGAGATAGTCAACTTATACAGAGAAAAGGGTTATTTTGTCTCACTGTTTTGGAGGTTCCAGTTCATGATCAGTTTGCCCCACTGCTTTTGGGCCTATGTTAAGGTAGCACATCATGGCAGGACTACAGGGCAGAGCAAACCCTCTTACATCATGAGTCAGGAAGCAAAAGAAAGAGAAAGAAGCTGAGGTGCCACAATCACCTTAAAAGAAATGCCTCCAATGACCTAAAGACCTCCCACTAGACCCCATCCCAAAGGTCCCTCACCTCCCAGTAACATGCTTCAGGGGACCAGGTCTCTGGAGGACACTCCAGATCCAAACTGCAGTGGTGGATCTACAGTGCCCCCACAGATCTGCCACCCTGTCTTGTCCAGACTAATATTAAAGCAAGCTTGCTTTCTCTAAGCATAGGTTCTGCCACAGTGGAAAGAGAAGAGGCCAAATTTATTCAAGGGAAGCCAGAAAGGCACAAAATCATAATTTAGAATTGGGCTCTTGCTGTTCCAGAAGACCCTGCATGGTTTCAATGCCCTGGGTCCTCCCACTTCTGGAACCAGATGTGGTAAACAAATCCTCCACCCTGGGCTGGGCTCCCTCAATGCTTTGGTTCCTTGGCTATCAACTGCTGACCCAGTCTCCTGGCTTTGTTCCAAAAGGCTGGGGTAGTCTTGCCTTATTCTGACTTCTAATGATGAGCCATACTTGGAAGGTCTAGGACATTCCTGGCCTGCTCCTTCACTCTTACTTCACTCAAGGCAGGAGCATCAGGGCCAAGAGATCCAATCTTTGGCTCCTTCTGGGAGGTAGACAGACATTGGTTGTACCATATGAGCACTATGGGGCTTTGGAAAATGAACTCTTAACTCTTCCATCCTTAGGTTCCTTATGGGTGATATAAGTTAGAATGACACCTGTCTCCTGAGGTTGTTGCCAGAAACAACCTGGCACACTGTTACATGAGGAACAGTACAGAAATTTCCTAGCACAGTGAAAAGTAGGGGCTATCATAAACCTACTGCCACCGCTTTTAGGGCCAACTGATGCTGGATAGGAGAGAATCCACTTAGGAAAGAGGAATTCCTTCCTAACAGGGTATCTGGCTGGGTCATCACCAAAGAAACATCTGGAAATATCTGTTCCCTAAGGGATTAATTACACTAAATGCATTCTCACCTGCCTAAGATGGCAAAGGAGCAATGGAAGTGAATGCAGCAGGCAGAATCTTAAAACAACAGGCAGAAAACAAAACAACAATCTCTTCATGAGTCTTTCAATCTCAGATAAAAACATCAGCCTCTAGAACTACACTTTACAGTTAAAAGACATTTTCACAACTACCAGCTTACCACCTTTCTCACCATCCCATTGTACAGAGGAGGAAACTGAGTCCTAGCCAAGGAAGTGAATGGTATAAGGTTGCACACAGTAAGTAGCAGAGCCAGAACTAGGTCTTGGGACCCCATGTTCCCCATGTGTCTCCTCGTTACCTGGGCCAGAGCTCAGGGTAAGAGACCGGCAGAATCCATTTCCCAATTTCCCACACACACATTCTCACACCGGACTCCTCTGCCATCTTATAGACCTGGGGCCTGTGTTATTATCTCCACTTTCAAATAAGGAGGCCGAGGCTCAGGATCAGGTAGATCTGCTAGTAAGCAGCAGAACTGGGCCTTGGACCCATATCTGCCTATTTCCAATCCCTGAGCTAACTTTCAGAAAAATACAGCCTCTCCCTGCCCCAGCTGCCTGCATGACCCTCAGCCCTCTCTGCCATTCTCTGCATTTGCCTTCCAGTCAAGATGATCCTGGATAAATACTACTTCATCTGCCAGCACTCTCTACACTTCATCCCGAGGGAGCACATGTGTGATGGCCACCCCGACTGTGCCTCAGGGGAAGATGAGGAACCCTGTGTCAAGAACTTCCTTGAGCAGCCTGCTGGGACAGGTGAGTCCAGGTAGGGACAGGGCATGAGGGGAGTGGGCCCAGCAGGCAGTCCGCTCCGGTACACAGGGTCACATACAGCACCAGCCTACTGATTTGTCTATCCCTGTACAATAAGGTTCACCAGAGCAGGACCCTGCTGTGTCTATCTCTAGATTCCAGCATGTAATGAAGAGCATGCACTCATTAAGGATTGGATAGAGGGGATAGGAAATTGTAACTGAGGCTGTCTCACTTCCTGCTGCACCTGCTTGATTTTGAGAAAGAGGACTAGTTTGGTTGTCCTTGGGAAGTTCCTCCTTCCTATGAAATCTCTTATTTCCAAAGGACTAGAAAAGAGAATGTCAGACCATCCAACCAATTAACGATCCTTCAGTTCATTAGTGTTTACTGTAACATGCTATGTAACAGATATTCGGAGGATAAAAAGCATGTTATTTCTTGATCTATCTGGTAATCGGAATCTAATGAGGAAAGGCCAAAGAGATGAGTGATGGGACAGAGCTGAGTGACTTCCTGTGTATTTCGCTCTTTATCAATTACATTCAAATGTCTCAAAGCACCTGCCATCATACTACCAACAGAACTTCTCACTTAACCTCCACCCTGACCTTACAGGGAGAAACACCTAGGTCCCTGGCTGAAAAGTTTCCCCAGGATGAAGCTGTGTGGACCACGGGTAGAGTGACCATGTAACTGTTCCATTAAAACCGATAAGGACAAAAGGAGGTGATGCTATTCATTGTGCCAGGGCAACAGATAAAAATGGAGGTTGATACCAAGACATATATCAGCTACTGTCAAAACAAAGCTTAAACAAAGTGAGATGGAGGAACTTCCCTTGATGTTAAAAGTGTCAGTGCTCGTGATGTCCCCAGTTCTGGGTTGGGCCAAGTTGAGTTGGTCACATGATGAGTTCTGAGGGGTTGGGTCAGAGGGGCCCTACCCTCAAGCTGACCCAGGCTCCTCCTCTCCCAGTCCGCCTCTCCAAGGACCGATCCACACTGCAGGTGATGGACCCAACCACAGGGAACTGGGCCTCTGCTTGTTATGACAACTTCACAGAAGCTCTGGCCAAGATAGCCTGTGGGCAGATGGGCTATGACAGGTACCCACCCACGCCATCAGAGGCTGTCATCTTTCCCCTGCACTTTCTTCTCTCCTTCTTCCTTCCTTCCTCTTTGCATCCTCTTCCTCCTTTCCCTGTTCCTTCCTCCTTCTATCTTCAAAACACAGACAATGGAGTCAGGTAGAACTTCTTTTGATTCACTTGCAAGCAGCATGAAGGTAAAGCTTCTCAGCCTCAGTTTCCTCAAGAGTTAATCAGGGGAAGTATTGCCAGCCTCACGGGATGAGTATGGGGTGCCAACAAGAGAATGTATGCAGCCCCCTCCAACAAGCACCACTCACACACACACTCACACTCACACACACACATCCATATGTGTGTACACTCACACATACACTGACACATAGCACATATACATATACATAGACACTTGCACACACACTGACACACACTGTATACACACAGAGTTCCAGCTCCTCTGCAGTCCTCTTTTTCTTTTTTGTCCTCAGTCCTCACTCCTTTGTCCTTTGGAAGAAGCCTTCCCTGTCCAATAGTACAAAGTCTAATTTACTTATCAAAGTCCCATTGGTTAAAATTTAGTTGAAATGATCCTGATTTCACTGAGGCCCCATCAACAGCAATCCCAGCTCTCTCCACAAATTCCAAAAGCGGTTCCAAATCTGGAGTGGATGGAAGGTGCATAATTATAAAAAGAGTAATTAGCATTATATTTATTTATATTCTCTTGGCAGAAAACCAAAAACATAGTTATTAATATAGCTATGTTCTAAGTAAACTCAGAGAAAGTCACTTACTTAGGTAGTAGCTTGGAGGTAGAAGACAAGCATTTGTGTGCCCAAAACCCCTCATTTAGGGGGCTGGGGGGTCTTGGTTTGAACATTGGGAAATTCTCTCTTCTCATAGGGCTTCATGAATAAGGAAGGGAACATGAAACCATTACTCAGAGAGCCAACCTGGAGAAGATGGGAAAGAGCACATGTATTCATTTACAGGGTGGGTTAGCCTCTCTGTAGCAGGTTCCAAACCAAGATTCTGAGAAACTGGGCCCAAAGATGAGATGATAACTACTATGCAGATATCACCAACCAATCACAGAACTCTCTTCCATGGATCCTTAAAGCAGCTTCAGCATCCTTTTCAATAAATGCTGGAGGCAGCCTTTACAAATCAACCTGGCCTATATGCCCTCCCTGGTCTCATAATCAGGCTTCTGCTGCTTTCCATCTTCCATGGGTGCAACCCCCAGTACCCACCCTGCACCTTCATTTTCAAGGCAATTGGAAGGCATGTCTTGTCCCTGTTATTCTCCCCTCCTCCTGCAGCTGCTCTGACCAGCCCAGCTGCAGCCAGCCCCTCCTCCCACTGCAGTCCGGGCAACTGCAGCATCAACTGTGCCTGGCCCAGCAGGCTGAGGCTGGATTCCAAAACCTGGGTATCTCCTGGGATTCTTAAGAGGATAGGCTCCAGGCATTTCTGTCCTTCTAGAGATCACTAAGGCACCAAACCACCTAGCTCTTGGACTCCACAAAATCAAATTTCATTAGAATTATTCATCAGGCCATCATTGATGAATAGAAGGTAACTTTCCTGGGAATGTCCATTTCCAGCATTGTCTCTCTTAGGGTAGATTTCTCTACTTTCTTTCCTCTGCCTGGATTGGAATCACCTCTTGTTCTATGATCACAAAATCATAAGTGTGACCCTAGGAGTCATCTGGTCCATCCATCATTCTGCCAAGAAGAAAACTGAGGCTCAGAGAGACACAGAAAAAGAATGTGACCTGCCCAAGAGTCTTTGTTCCCCCTGCTGCGAACCAGAAAATACTGCTGGGACATTTGAACCATGGACAGAGCTGAACATTAAAAAAGAGGATCTCTAACATTTCTCTAGAGCTCTGGGTGTGGACTAGGAGTCCCCACCCAAGAAAGCAAGGGCACATGAGCACTGTGCCCAGGGCTGAGTCCAGAATGCCAAGGGGAAGTCCTTATTGTATAGCAAAACAAGCCCGCCCAAGTCTGGTCATCACTACCTCCACTTCCCTGTTGTTCCCTACTGCCATTCTCTGCCACCCTCTTGGTGCTGCCTGCTCCTGCCATCTTGTTCTCACCTCCCCCCAACTCATAGCTCTTACTCCCTCCCACAGCCAACCCACTTTCAAAGCTGTGAAGATTAGCTGGGACCAGGATCTGGATGTCATTGTAGTCACAGAAAACAACCAAGAGCTTCGGGTGCGGAACTCAAGTGGGTAAGTGATGGACCCCTTCTGACCTACAAAGGCCATGCAAGGAGGCTGCTAGAGCTGTAGCTGGCTCAGTATAAAGAGACCAGCAGCAAGAGGAACGTAAGCCAGACAACAAGAACTCTTAGAGCTATAGATCATTAAGTGCAGAGAGCTATAGCATCACATCTCTGGGAGGTTTTCTGTGTTGACTTTTTTAATACAATGGACAGCTAGACAAAGCATGCTGTCCTACTCAAAGGCAGAGCAGTGAATAAACTGACCTTTCTATCAATTTGAATAGAAAGCCAAATGTCTCTTGCTACTGCCTTATATTCCCTAAAAATTGCCCAACAGACCACTTTCCAAAAGTCACTTTGTCTCTCCCCACCACTTACCAGAGCCAAAATAGGACTTTGCGACATTCCCAGTGCTCCAGGGGAAAGGCCCTGTGGTTCTCACATCACCACCCTGCATTAGAACACAGCATCTAAATGAAATCTGTCACACCGCAGCAGGGTGATTTAGAGAGGATGCTGGCTCCTTAGCATTCAAGGATGTTTCCGAGGACTGCTTATTCATCAGAATAAATCTTGAAAAGGACAGGGTTAGTAGTAGAATGACTGCCTCGAATGCCATTAAAATCCTATTCTTCCATTTGGAAAGCCTGCAGCACAGCAGATTCTTCTGCACACTGTTCTTTTCCTGCTCAGGCTGCCAGGAGCCTGAGCTGGGCTTTGAACTGAGCAGAGCCCTCCACATAGTAGATGCTCATTAATGAGGGTGTTGGATCAAATCAAATTGCACTGAGTGTTAATGCAGTTTCTATATAGTCCCCATTATGCAGGTTCCAGATTTCCCAGATATTGGGAAGGGATTCGAATCAACATTGTCACAAGGTCTGAGTCCCTCCCTCCTACCCAAGGGGGAAGTGGAACCCACAGGGCCCTGTGCTCTCTTGCAGACCCTGTGTCTCAGGCTCCCTGGTTTCCCTGCACTGCCTTGGTGAGTATGCTCCGTCTCTGAGGATCTGGGGCTGGGCCAGCAATGAGCAGGGAGGAAGACCTTCCTCTTCATTCCTAAATCTCCCAGAATCCAAGTTTCACTCTACTTCAACCTGACTTTTGTTCTTCAGCCATTGGGCTTGTAGGTTAGTTCTCCTTCAAGTGGCTGAAGTTAAGAACTCTCTTCTACCATCTGATCACAACCTGTGACCTCAGTGTACTGTACTAGTATTAGTTTTCAATACAGTGTACTGTATTAGTTTTTCATTACTATAATGAAATACCTGAGACAGGCTAAATTTATAAAGAAAAGAGGTTTATTTAGCTCACAGTTTTGAAGGTAAAAATCAAGTAAGGCCCATTGGTTTGCCCTCTGGTGAGGGCCTAACTTCAGATAGTGAATCATGGCAGAAGTACACACAAGAGTGAGAAATCACATCACAAAATAGGAAGACAGAGAGTGATACAGGGGTTGGGCTGGTTCTTATCACAACTCACTCTCATAAGAGCCCAGAGATCTTATGAGAATCCTCTTCATCTCTTCTGAGGACAGCTCCTCAGTGTCCTAAGGGCCACCAGGCTCCACTCTGAAAGGTCCCATCACCTCAACACTACCACTGAGGACAGAGGTCTCAGACATGAAGCTTTGGGGGACATATTTAAACCATATCCAACCACAGCAGGGAGCTACAAGGAAATGAAACAGGCTAGAAGGAAACTTTATATGAAGACAGCAGAGGGGCTAGAAATGTAGCTCAGTGGTAGAGCACTTGCCTGGCATGTATGAGGCCCCAAATTCAATCCCAGCACCTCCGAAAAAAGACAACAGGAGGCTGTCAGGGAGAGTTTAAACTCTGCCCTACCAACAAAGGGGCTTTGTGTGAGAGAGCAAAGCGACAGTGTTTGAAATCAGACAGCCTTTGAAAAGCCCCCACCTAGCACAGTGCCAGGCACATGGAAAAGGGTGTCTCTCTCTCTTGTAAGGACCATTGCAGCAGGGCTGCCAGAAGGGTTAGAGAGGCAAAGAATAGGATGGGGAGGTGGGATTGGAAGATTTAACAGGGGTCAAAGGTTGGATGTGAGAACATGTGGATGTGAGGGGGAAGGCAGGTGGGCAGATTGGGAGCTGCCCTTCACAGGAAGAAGGACCTTGGAGAAAGGTGAGTTTGGGATGGGAAGATCTGTTTCTGCAGCTTTCTTCCTACTTCCTGATGCCAAAGTAGCTTGCAGACATCTGCTTACTCTTACTCAGTGGGAGAGGCTCGGGACACTCTGCCTGGGCAGGGCTTTTGTCATTCTGCAATCCCTGTTCAGTTGCAAGGTCATAAACTCCCAGCACAGAGGACACACCCATGTGCACAATCTAAACTCTGAACAACACACAGTGCCAAAAAAGAGAGGGAAATTTGAGGAAAAGCCTCCAGTCTGGGACACTCAGTATCTCCCCATGAACAATTCAAGACCGGCCAGTCCTCTCCACCCTCCAGTACCAGTCCTGAGGGGCAGAGGTGTTTTCTCAGGCTGTATCCCCACCCCCAGCCTGACTTCCTCTTCTCCCTCCTCACTGCTGAGTTCAGCCTGTGGGAGCAGCGCAAAGACTCCTCGGGTGGTGGGTGGGCAGCATGCATCTGTGGATTCTTGGCCTTGGCAAGTCAGCATCCAGTACAACAAGCAGCACATCTGTGGAGGGAGCATCCTGGACCCCTACTGGATCCTCACAGCAGCCCACTGCTTCAGGTAAGGCCCCAGGGATCAAGGCCACGAAGGGCCCACCTCTGACTTACTTTCCATTGCCCACTCACCTCCCCTGGAGACCACTGCCAGGGTGTGGAGGCCAGAATGCCCTTTGCTAGGTATGGGGGTCTGAGCAGAAGGTAGTGGTCCCAAGCTTGACCTCTACATCGTGGAAAGCTATCAGATAGCCAGGGTTCTCACTCACTACAGCCCACCCCCCATATCCTTCACTCCATGAAAACTCTTCCCACCTCCCTGGGGTCCTGAAAACTCATTCCCTCCTTGCCAATCTTCCAGGAAGTGGTCCTAAGATCTAGAATCACTGTCATTCCCTCATTTTGCCCAGAAATTTAAACAGGTGTAGTCTCCCTTCAGGTTCAGCAGAGACAGACTTGGCCATATCCCTGGGAAGGGCCACACCCAGGCCCTCCTCACTTTCAGTCATTCAGCATCTCATTATTGCCTGCCCGGAACTAAACCCAGTGCATGGGACAGACCCTATCACTGCCTTCAGGCACACCCAGGCCAGGCCAGGTGTTCTTAGCTTTTTTGAGAATCTGGTAAGAACTATAAATCCTTTCCTGGAAGAACTGCACACTAAACTGTGTCTGGTGTGGGAAGAAAGACAGACGCACTCATACATGACTGACCACAATATGAGCACCACATGAGTAACACAGATGGAACAAGGATGGGGAGCCAGGCATGGTGAGGCATGCCTATTGTCCCAGCACTTGGGAAGCTAAGACAGGAGGATCAAGTTTGAGGCTAGCTGGGGCTGCATAGTAAGTTCAAGGCCAGCCTGAACTTGGGTCCTTGCGCTTGTGCAGCAGGTGGCAAAACCACTGAGCTAAATCCCCAGCCCTTCAAATCCCCTTTTAAGAACTTGGCTCCTGGAAGGTAACTCCTCTGACTTCCCTTCTTTACCTTGGTACCCCCATATTCCCAACATCATATTAGGCAGCCCCATCCACAGGACCCCGGGAAGCCAGCCCTTACCCACACCTCCTTGAGTTTGGCTCAGGCATAAAGCGAGCTTTGTCTTCCCCCAGGAAACATCTCGATTTGTACAACTGGAAAGTGAGGGCTGGCTTTGACAAACTGGACAATTTCCCATCTCTGCCTGTGGCCAAGATCTTCATTGCTGAGCAAAATAACTCATACCCCAAAGAGAAAGACATCGCCCTCGTAAGGCTACAGCTCCCCCTTACATTCTCAGGTGAGCAGTGGTTGGGCTGGGGATTTAGCTCAGTGGTTCTGTTGCCTGCCTTGCAAGCACAAGGACCCGAGTTGGATCCCCAGTACCAAAAACAAACAAACAAACAAACAAAACCCAGACATCAGGTGAGCAGTGGTGTCTAGGGACAGAGACCCAAGCCCCTCTGGCCGGTTCTGCACTCACTCTGCCTCTAGACCACTTAGTGGACTTGAGTGCACTTTCCCTCTCAAGACCTCAGCTTGCCCATCTGTTTCTGACTAACACATCGGCCCAGTGTCACATGATCACCTCCCCCTCGAGCCGCCATCTGTCAGCACACCATCCCCTGCCACAGATTCCTCCAAAGTCTCTTTTCTCCATTTGGAGCACACATGAGAATCAGATTCACCCAATCTTGGAGTTGTAAGGGACCTTTTTAAAGGATCACTTTGTCCATTACCCACTCACTCGCAAGCAGTGCCCAAGAGCCTAACAATATCCCTGCCAATGCATCATTGTGCTGCTGCTCGAGTGGGGAGCTCATTACTTCTAAGGCACCTCATAGAATCTTTCAACAGTTCCGTTAGCTGTCCCATGCTTATATTGAGTGATTTTTAGATTAGTGTTTCCAACCGTGAGGGGGCCACAGGACATAGGCACCCAGAGAAAGAGTCAAGTGAGTTTAGGAATCATTGTCATAGTGTAATTCCATTCTTGGAGCATATTAACATATTAAAGGTATGAAAAGTGTTTTAAAGGACCTCTTCTATTGTATGAAACCCACTTTTTCTTGGGGGATGGGATACTGAGGGCAGAACCCAGGGCCTTCACACATAGCTGTATCTCCTTTTTTTTTTTTTTTTTTTTTGGTTGAAGCAGGGTCTTACCAAGTTGCCCAGGCTGGGCTCTAACTTTCACTCACAGTCCTCCTGTCCCAGCCTCCCAGAATGTTGGGATTATAGGCATGGACCACCATGCTTGACTCGAGTCCACATTTTCAAAATTTATTTGACCACAGACTCTTTTTTTTCATACACTTCTCCTAGAATCCCACAGAACAAGTAGTGGGTTCCCATCAGAGGGCTTAGCTGCCAGGGTGTCCTGAAACCTAATTCTCTTTCATGGTTTTTGACTGGAATTTGCTTTAATCAGCCCTGGTAAGGTGACAGACATAGAGACAACTGCCTTTGAAAGGAGAGTTTACTACCTACAGTTTCTGGGAGAAGGGGGCATGCAGGGCCCTGTGGGGAAATACCAGGTCAGTTGCAGCTTGGGGCGGAGGGTTGGGCACAGCCTGGAGTGCTGACTGTGGTTCCAGGCACTGCAAGGTTGGGTAGGTGAATTTAAGCAAGCTTGGAACAGGATAGTGAAAATAATTTTCTAAGCCAAACGGGTTCATCTTTAGTTGTCAAGGTCCTGGCCCTGGGGTGACCTAAGGAAGAAGAAAATACTGGTTTTGTGTGTGACAGTTAGACAAAGGAGGTGGCTGGGCAGGGGGGGTGTGCTTTGGATTGGTTGGTTTGTACATTAAGAGCATGCTCACAGGCCAGAGGTTTCTTTTTTTTTTTTCTTGAAGATCTTAAATTTATTTTTATTAAGTAAATTATGG